TGTCAGAGAAACTAAAGGAAAACAAAGGCAAACAAATTGTGTTTATATGTTAATAAGCTACTAATGGGTCTGAGTATAATTATCTAATCAGTTTACATCTGTAATTATGGGTGAGGTCACTTTAGACTTGTACAAAGAGCCTGCAGTGCAAATTTTCACAATTAGCTGCCTACGCCACCACTGGCTTATCTACGTACAAAATGAATTTTTCCAACTATATAGAAGCTGAGCAACTGACATACTCCTTCCAAGTATATTTGAGACCTAAGGGACAGCAAGGTAACAAAACAGCTTTTTTTTTTTGCAAAGTGAGAGTGAAAGAGTTATCTACTTTTTCTTTGGAATAGAATTTCTATACTCTAAACAGTACTTTGATTACAACCATTGTCTTACAGAATAAAGCTTTAATGAAAATTAGGTGTTTAAGAATCTATCCAACAGGCAAAAGGCTACAATCCCACAATGAAAAGAGGCAACTTTTTTTTTTTTTAGGGGAAAATAGTCCAAACAAACCACAAAACATAACTAACTTTAACTGGGCATAAAAAAATCAGAAACTACGATGCAGCAAAACAACACAGCAAGGTAAAGGATAAAAAGTTGCAATTGATGCAGCTAAGAAGCACAAGACTTTTTAAAGCATAAGAAAAATATATCAAAAAATAACAGTTTACTACTAGTGAAGGATAGTAAAATTGTCAAGAGCCAAAAAAAGCTGTGATGTGCAATAAATACTTTCCATTAGGAAACAATTAAGATGACATATTTTATGAAGAAAATTAAGTACTTTCCAATGCTCTAACAGTGGTAGAGATGTTTCCTTTATCACTATGAAATTTTTAGAAATAAATACTTGAGACTTTAATCCCAGCTTTCCAGAATTATTAGGAACAAATCATTTGACCTTGCCATCACAAGTGGTTGACAGTTTTACAACACTACCATAGTTCAAATAAATCATGACCTAATCCTCTGAAGACAACAACAAAAAAAAAAAAGTGACAACACAGGCCACAAAGTTTGCCACTTAACTAGAAAATATATAGAAGAAACTGTGTAGAAAGTATTAAATTAACAGATCAAAACAACCTATGTTGACTACCATCAACAGAAGCTTATGCACAGAAGACTAAAATGATGATTTTGCCTAAGTAATACAAAAGTGAGGCAATATACTATTTACCCACATGGCCATAATATTTACCTACATACCACCTGACTAGCAAGGTGGTTTTAGAACTCTGTTAGAGCAATAAAGAACACATAAAGTAAATTAAAGCTCAAGACAGCACCACATTTTATTTATTTATTTTAAAGAAAGAACTTGCCTGGACTGTTGCCATATTTAAAAGCAATTCTGTGATTGAAAGTGACTCTAAACACACTTTTTGATAGCGTGCTGTGGATGAGATGGGCATCAACCACACAGAGTAGCAGTCAGAACATAGTCAGAAAGACCAAACAAGACAGACTCACTCAAACAAAATATGTTCTATGCGAAAATCAAACACAAAGCATATTGTTAAGGAACAAGTAGGGGACGATGCTTTAAACAGCAGATTAATTTCACCTGCACATAGCTTTTGTGCAGAATAAGCAAATGATCCAAAGGAAGACAGGCATGCTCAGCAGCAGTGGCTATTCTGTACGAGTAATTACAGTTCTGATTACACAGATAATCCCCAAAACAGAAGAAATTGTGAGCTGCATGACTGCCACAGGACTGCATGATTCGAGATTTTGGCCCAATGCTATTAAGTACGTATCTGTCAATGAGAAAAAGGCTGAAGATCACAGATGTCAAAATACTGGTCATCACACAGGTGAGATTAAGAAATGCTTTTAGGAAGAAACTTTGGATTTTTATGGATGCTGTAAAGCTTCTAAGGCTTGGATCTTACTCATCTCTCTGATGAGAAGTGCTGAAATATATCACTCCAGGGTAGCACTGCAGAAGCAAACAGCCACAGTTGCAAGTGAAAGGTCTGTAGAAGTTATCTACCATGACAGTGTCCTTTAAAAAATGGAAATGTATCACCTGGGTTCTTTGTGGAATTTGGTGACAGATCAGTGCATAATACTGAAACGCTATCCATCAAGAGACCAGCTCATACTACATTGGAATTAATTAAAACATGAAGCAGGTTTATTTTAGAAAAGAAGTCTGTGAAATGAGGTCCTGAAAAGCAGCAGGAAAGGGTTCTTACAAAACGGTCATCCAGACTGCAGGACTTTTGGTCACATCAATGAGATGATCATCCCCAATATGGTTGCTATGGTCCAACCCCAGATGGCAATTAAGCCTCACACAGTCACTTGCTCACTACCCTTGGGTGGTAAAAGTGAGAAAACTCAGGTTGAGATAAAGACAGTGTAACTGGGAAAGCAAAAGCTGCACACAAAGGCAAACCAAAACAAGGAATTCAATCACCACTTCCCATGGGCAGGCAGGTGATCAGCCATCCCCAGGAAAGCAGAGGGCCAGAGGGCTCCCTCAGGCATCACTGTGACTTGGGAAGACAAACAGCATTACTCTGAATGTCTCCCTTTCCTTCTTCATCCCCCAGGTCTATATGCTGAACACAACGACACAGGGTATGGAATGTCCCTTGGGTCAGCTGGGGTCAGCTGTGCCCTCCCAACTCCATGTATGGCTGCCTGTTCCTGGCCCAAAAGGCCAGGCACACTTTGGATTTCACTTTTTGGGCAAGTAAATTCATCCAACCTGCAAGAAACTAATGTCCTAAGGAAGCAAACCTCCAAGAATGACAGCATCTCCTCCATCAAATATTCAATTTATAAGTGAACAGGAACTATCTAGAGACCCCCATCACTGGCATCTGTGGCTGCCCAAGGAAAAGCTAATCAAATAAGGCTAAACCAAAAGTTTTTCATAGAATCAACAAGAGTAAGCAGCATAAGCATCAATTCTTATAAAATTCTTATAAAATTATCAACCAAAATTCTTCTTGTCAAATGTTTTGTTCAACACTTAATAGCAGCTGTTCACAAGAAAAAATTATTGTGAAGGCAAACAAGTTCAGAAGTAGAAATTGTACCTATTTCTGCACTCAGCAACTTCTATCAATTTCCCTTGGAATCAGAAGCAAGACGTAAGCTTTCCACAAGACTGGTTCTAGACTCACAAATACATTATTATTTGGGACTGTCACCTCTGATGCTGTAAAATATCCAGTAGGATTAGACTATTCCTCCAGAAAAATATGAAAAATATGGGGAAGAAGGGGAAAGCAGACATCTAAATAGATCCTGACCCCTTGACAACAAAATGTGACACTGCCACCGACCTAATCTTCAAGAAAAGCTAGACAAATCTAGATGAAGCAGCAATAATGCCCTTTGTTCAGCAATGCAGAATACAAGGTTAGCACCAAATGGCACTTGAGCTACTTGAGTTGCAACTCCTACAGCTCCAGAATAGTCTGCCAGCATCTGAGCTGGTATCTCCTGTATCAAAAGCCACAAGAACAAACTAGGAAAGTCTGGAGAACTGCCACTAGAAGTAGGCATCTGGAAGCCATCAGAAGTAAATACTTTTTGACTATGTTGATGTTAATTGGTTTATAGTTATCCATGGTATCCAGGCATCAATATTCTGTTTCATTCTGCATTTTAACTTCAAGACTTTGATATCCCATCACATTTATTTTCCCATTCACATCAACACAGCACCTACAGCCCCTTCTTCATCTCAAAGCAAGTTGTATCTGATAACCCTCATTCTGATCCCCTTTAGACCTGCATCCCACTTCTGTTACCCCAAATACTTAATTCTTCAGGGATGGGAGAAACAAAATAATGTCTAAGCACACATAGAAGGGAAGCCTTTCAACATGCCTGTTGTTGTAAACTTCTGTAGGCTTTCACAATTTCTCCCTATAACACATGTATATAACATACCTGTCATCTGATTGGAGCAGAGTTCAGAATGAAGGTTTAAGAGCATGGCCTTCTACGTAAAGCCTCAGGACAATACTTAACGTAGTGCCAGCTGACTGTCTTAAATTAACAACAAAAGTCTTTGAGGCCAGTGTACAGGTCCTTTTGTACAATGGATCAAGTATTGATCTATCATTATATTATAGTTCTAACACTCTTACGAAAAATATCCAGACCTGCGTTCTGCTTATAAACCAGAGAAGAATTATCACTTACTATCTACAAACTGGCCTTTAGCTTAAACTGGTAACTTAGAAACGGAAGAGAAGTTGCACAAAGAAAATTCAGATTTCACAAGGTCTTTCAAAATCAGGACTATGAAGATTCATATATCTCTCAAGAGTTATCAGTGATCATAGACCTGAGGGTTTGCTGTAAATACCAAAAAGAGTATCTATTGACTAATGGAGGATTTACTGAAAAGACAAAGAAGGAATGAACAAGAGGGGTTAATCAAAAATAAAAGAGCAAAAGTATTAAATGTAGCCTTTATTATACACTATAGACAAGTGTTCTAAGTGTTGTCACGTGAACATTTGATTTCAATTAATCTGCATTGTATCAGTGCTCTTCCAACAGAAGTGGCTTTCCTGTACTTTACTGTTCGAAATAACCACAGGCTAATAATATATGAAAATATTCTTAACTTCATTAAAAGAGTCACAGTTTAAAATGCAACCCCAACAGCACAAAATTTGGTTATATTAGCTTTCCTAAAATTCACCCATACCTTTCCCCCAAAAGACTAAATACCCACAGGAGCAAGCAGAACTGGCTCATTATATCAAGACATGTTAAAAAAACCCCCAATCAACCAAAAAAACCACCAAACCCAAACGCACCAGCTCCTACAGTTCTTGCTGTATTTGTGGCTCCCTGGCCTCCTCACAGAGCAAGGCAACTGCTGTGCAAAAAGTTTTGCAGACTACAAGCTTCTTTGCAAGCAGGCAACTATGCTGACTTGATTTTGTGATATTTTCTTCATCCTAAAATTAAAATCACACATTATCTATTTTTATTCTGTATTACAAGATACTTACTCTGCCATTACACGTCTGACGTTATTGGCATATAACACTGGATTTTTTCTTTCTTCTTCTGAAGGAATATACACAGGTAGAAACTGCATAAAGAGAACTGAATTATACCAAAAATATTTAACATTTTAAACAATCTCTCTTATAGCATTACGGTGAAAATTGTGTACAGTTTGTTGTTACTTACAAAATTATATTAACAAAAGGACTATAGAAAAAAATTATAATTCAACTCTTAAATGCTTAAGCATATGTCATACTTCTAGAAATTCATATAACATAGACTCCGCTCAATTTTTATCTCATGGAACCCAGGCAGAGTTTTATCTTCCTTTCATAAGTAAGACTAGGAATTTTAAAATAATTTACAAGTATTAGCATTTTCTTGCATAAACCTTTCTTTTACATTCTTTTGTTCAGCTCTTTCCAGATAACCAAAAAATTTCACACTGGTCTTTAAAAAATAAAATAACAACTGGGGAATAAATATGAAGTAATTTCAGCAAATATTTCTCAATAACTTTGAAGTTAGCTGTATTTTCACAATTACATAATGGTATGATCAGCAGTACTCTAACGTTGCCATTAGATGTTTTTCTTATAATGGGCAAATCTTGAATTTATTTTGGGTTTTGCTAGTTTTCCTTATATGAACTACTACAACTGAAAACATATGACTCCTGACTTCTAGGTTTAAATTACAAGCAGATACACCAGCCTGATGTAATATACAAAAGGACAAAGACTGTGAAGTTAACAGAGGTGGAATAACTGTTCCTTCAACTTCCAAGTCCTATTCCATTTGAGTTGCAAACTGCTGTCAAGTCATTCATCCTAACACAGAACAAGTTTGAAGATGAGGAGATTTCAGAGGTGCTCTACATGTCTGTGCCTAACTTGATATAAATAGCATGATATTTCAACAGCACTCACAAAACCAGAAGAACTCTCAGCTGCTGCAGATTGTGATGGATGTATGAACACTGAAGCAGACAGGTCACCAAAACAAACTGACATGAGCCAAAACAATCTACATGTGCAGATGATCATATCTCCGTTCTTCTTCACAATATCGCTTGCATGCCAGTTCCAAGTACGGGACGGATAGATGGGCCAATATTTAGAGAAACCTATTATAAAACCTACATAGACACTTGATTCTCAATATACATACTGGATGACACATATGGTATGCCAGAACATATGTTATATGCAGAGAAGCACAGACTAACTAATTTTGGATCCTGACTGTTGGCTGTTTAACCTTACCAGCTATCATTTAATCAAAAACAGACCGATGTTGTGTTGTTCTGTTGTATCTCTCCCTGAGTTATTGGATCATCAGCAGTAACTGTGGTATCAAGGCTGGTTGGTATTTGCTAGTATCTCTGTGCTGATGGAACAGAGCAGGAATAAAAACCAAAAAACTTTGGAGACCAGGGGAAAAACACGGCTTTGAACAACTAGTTTTTCTTCTACATTCCTAAATCTGCCACACTTCCTTACAAAAACAGATTCAACAAGTAGAACTCATGTATTCTGCCTCGTAATTGAAAGCAGCCTTGAAAACAGCTCTGCTCCTCTACCCTCTGCCAGCTCCTGCTCTAGTATGGAGTACTTTAGAAGGCCATTAGTTAGTTTGCTTTTTTTTTTAAAGACTATCAAAGATCATAACTTATTATGCAAGATGTGTAAGAGCTACAGAAACTCAGCATCTGCTAGCAGCTGCTGCCTCAAAAATCAAGAAAGCTCAGCAGTGTTCACTTCTGTGTGAAAGAACATTTTACTTGCCTAGGGCAGAAAAACGTGTTCCTGAGATAGAGTAAAAATCCTGCCAAGTAACTGGTTTGTCCTATCCTTGCATAAGGCAGTCACTCCCTGGCCTTTCTGCAAAAAACAGGTCACTATTTTGGGAACAAATTTTTTTTTTTAATGTATGCTATTAATAGCTGATGATATCCAACTAAAGTGATAACACAAACCACAAATTTCTACAACAGATACAAACATTCAGTGGCTGGTATTTTGTATGTTCATTAATTTTGAGACTAACTGATTGCATAAATAAGCAAACACAGAGCAATGATAAGTACTGTGATTAGCATGCATTATATGTCACTACTGTAACACAATGTATGTAAATATGCAATAGTTCTTCCTACTGATTTACCCTGTCATCAGTTCCATCTGTCAGAGTTAAATAGCTGCTTCATTATTCAGAAAGCAAATTAATTGCAGAACATCTGTCAAATATCCTATATAACACTTTCCAAATACTGTAATTGTCCACAAAATGTAATTACTCTGTCTAAAATACATTAAGACAACAATTTAAAAGGAATGGTTTTAATTGTTTTTGCATTGTCACTAAAATAGTCTTCAGCCTTAGGACCACATAGCGTTTTCCTCAAAACAAAGTTAAGATTACAGATAGGAAAACAGAAAGAAAATCTATTTCACATTCTGACTAGTGCAGCCTAATTAGAAATTAGCCAGACATTAAATAACCTATCCAACCTATAAGAAACCACCCACAATTTTCCTCCACAAGACAGCCCTTAGTTTGTACACCAGCATTCACACATTTGGATGTCTAACATACAAAGTTGGTACACTACTTGGAATAGTAATCAGGCCGTTAAAAGACAAGAAATTTGTTCACAAAAGACTCTTTGAACAGAGTCAGAAATGTATCTATTCAATTTAAATCAATAAGAAAGTAAAGTCTTATGCCAAGGTGAAAACTGTCTTTTGCTATTCCATTTTTAGCTACATTTTCAGATACAGAAGCCTTTTGTCTAAAATATACGTAGTATTTTAACCTGTTCTTACAGACAAACATACAAAGTTTGAACATAAACTTTTACTGCAGAATCAAGTACAATATTACATATTCTGAACCTGCTCAGAATAAACTGGGTTTCTTTTTTTACTGACCTCGATTTCCACAGAATTGTGAAACTGACACAAAGTAAGCCACAGAATTTCAAACCTAAAAGGAACAAAAGATGGGAAAGGATGGAGAAAAAAAAATTTATATGTAGTGAAACAGTAGTACATTATACTCCTAAGTCTTCAAGTAGCATTCCTACTTATAGGTATGATTGTATTCAGATAAAAAAAGTAACAGAAAAGGTCTTTGAAAGTATTTCTACACATTACATTCCATAAGGTGCAACAAAAGCAGTTTACACTGAATTGGCATCTTAAAAAAACACTCAAAAGCAGGAAGACAAACAGTAAAAGATAATGTATGCATAATGCGTAAAGAAGGAGTAAGTCTGTTTCAGGAAAATGCTGCATTCAGCACAGAGTTGGTAAGATTAATTATAACCACTGAGATTTTATCATTACCTCGGTTTGGAATCAAAGTTCATAATACTGCAGAAGTCTGTTAATGAAATTCTACGTGTGCTTTATTAGCCTAAGATACAAGATAACTGGAATCAACTTGACCTTGGAAAGCATTAAGGTTCAAATCCAGGAAAGGATTTAGTAAACCTAAATTAGGGAGCAGCGTTAGTAACCCCATTTTTATACAGTATCTAGGTAGTTACAGAAGTCAATCATTGTGAGGGGAGAGCTGGTCAAAATCCTCGTACGCAGACGAAGTGCAGTTTCTAAGAAGCAAAACCCTACTCATTCTGTTATACACTCATATAGGGGTGCAAAATATTTTCCCTCCTTCCTTCCTACTCCCAACACATCAAAGCAAAGAAAAGGATCAAGAACAACAGTGGAATCTGTGATTTGAAGTTTAAGGCACTGATAGGAAACATCAAAATCTGGTTTGTAGGTCCTTGTCGAAGAGCATTAAAACCCCCCTAAGAGTTATAAGTAAACTTTTCTCTCTGCCAGCTCTCTGGAATCCTAAGAGATTAAACTTTAAATTTAAATAAAAATCTAAAACTGATAGAACCTGTATCTAACTCAAGTCTAATGTAGAGAAAATTTACGTTGTGTACTATAGTCATTCTTTGTTTTCAAGGTAGTCAGCTGATCTGCTTTGCATACTGTCAAATTAGTAGAAACATTACTTTCAGTAAGTGGAAGAAAGCACATAAGTTTGTATATGACAAATTTTCAATTCACTTTATAGGTTACAGCACCTTTGAACAAACAATACTCCTGGATACAGCAACATTTCCAGATTAAGTTTTGGCTAACACTAACACAGAAGAGAGACATTTGCTGAGAAAAAAACCTGTATCAGTCTTAACATTATTTTCTGCTAAGACATCAGAAATACATTTTGGGTCACTCAGCAGAATTAATCCTAATTAAGTACAGCTGTAATTTAAACTGACCTAGTCAATTTGTATAACATCACATGCTACCTCAGATTCAGATTCGGCTTTAATTTAATTTAACTTTTTTTAGCAGATGTCAGCACTTCAGAATAAAGGCTTTGTAGACATTATAGTGATCTGAGGCAACACACCTCTTTCTCCTTTTATGTGTTCTTGACTCCTCAGTCAGGACACTACGCTGGAAGTAAGCTACTTGCCTTTTTCCTCTATGGTTGAGTTACTTTTTTAGGTGAATTGCAGTGCAAATGCAAGGGAAGAGGTAGGAGCTTATGAGAACAGAAATCCCTTCATGCAGTAAATGCTACAGTGTCTATTTACATTATACACTATCATGGATTCACCTACTTCTAATGTGATACATTAATTGTAAGATGAACTTTTAAAAGTTATCATTAATTCCTCAAGTCTCCAAATCTAGTCGTGTCATTAATTCAACTTGGTTCCCAAGTGCAAAACTAACTGACAAAATTCTAAATTACTTGAATCTTGCCTAATCCCAATAGTTTCCTTGTTACTACTAAAATACATGATCTCAGGTGGGACATTTAAAACCATACAAGGCATTAAAAAAGAAGTCAACTCCCCTTTACTTAGGGTTCAAAATTTTTTGTTTTCACCGTCACCTAAACATTTTAGAATTTCTACTCAAATTCCAGCATGAAAATAATGCTTAAATTTTTTTTAAACAATCAGGAACTGCTTCATTTAATATTTTACATTACATGAATTTGCAAAATCAAAGTTATATTTGGGCAAGACAATGGAAACAGTATCTCCAAATTCTCTGAGTTGACTTTTTCCATGAGACTAGACTAATTTCAAACAATAGCCCTAAAGATTTTATACAGTAATATACCAAATCAATTTGCAGGCAACAAAATACATAGAGCCAAAACAAGTTGTTTTACTTCAGGTACTTGGCTAAAAAAAAGTAAATTTGAAATAAAAACCTAAAATCCATTCTGCAAACCAACAAAATCATAGCAGCAGAAGTACACTGTTTATACCCAGATTTCTCTAAATCAGGATTATCATAATTAGGGAATAATAGATAAAAGATAAATTAATCCCAAAGAACAATCCAATAACCAGGAATTGGTTGACTATATGTGCCTGTAAGTCATGTAAATAAAAACTAATGGAGGAAAGCAATCATGATGCAAGCAATAAAACATAAACCACTTACGCTCCTGGCCCTTGCCATGTCCATGTGATTGTGTCCTAAGAAAAGAAGTATGACAGTTGCAATTAATTACTGTGCTTTCAACTTTTTATACTGCAGACAGCATAACTGACAACATAGGATTAAAATGTTTTCATGGAAATTTCAACGCCCTGTTTGCAAAAGTTCTTAACCCTGTTAGGAATCAGCCTATCTTTTATATAGCTAGGAAATACCCAGTAACACAGGTCTTAAACACCAAATATCTACATTCATAAAACATTTAAAGATCCAAGTATTCTTCAAAGGCTGTTAGCCTTCAAAAAGAAAGTTACTTAGCTGATGTTCCTTGATATGCATAGTCCGCATATATTTATTTTCTTAGCCCACCCTGCTTGACAGAGAGTCCCTACAGTGTACTTGGATGTCCCAGCAACAGATATGAACACTTTAACACTCCTGAAGTGTCTGGAACCTGTGGAGATGACTGTAAGGAAGTCTGCTCAACTGATATGAAGCAGTAGGATGGATAAGACTTTATGTCTTAAACAGTATTTTCACAGCTGCCTTTACACACAGACACCATACATCCACCTGCCTGATCCAAGAATCAAAAGGTACATTCTAAGACATCTAAACCTACAAATTTACTCTCAGGGAAGACCAGCAGCACTTTTGCATGGCCAAAATGAACACTGTGTGAAACACTAAGAGAGGACAAACAGCACTGAAAGCATTTGTTAGATGTAAATAGCAAAAAGGGGTCAGAGACCTGGAAAGGAATATATAACAGATATAAGAGGTAACAGGAGGAAATATGACAGTAAAAGTCATCACATTTTTAACTGTAAGACTAAGAAATAGCACAGGAAAAAACCTGCAATACTTGGAGACAAGATTTAAGTGTAGAAGTAAGAATCTAAAGACCTGAAAATTAGTTCTGTTCTAACCAGAAAAAAAAAGTTCAAGTCATTAACGGAAAGACAAGAGGACTCATTATATTCAGGTTTCCAAAAGATCAGATCAGAAAGATATTTATTTCAACTTACTGAAAATGTTCCAGTTCAGTTCTATGCTACCATCCAAGTCCATTTTAGAGAGTTCAGGTGATCACATGTGCCAAGACCATGAAAAACCAAGTCAAACTCCAGTTTTAATTACCATTTAGAGCAAAATGCCATCATAAGTAAAAATGAAAGTAAACCCATCCATAAAAGGTGAAAAATGTGATTTATGTAATAGAATAATTCTTTATCATATTTTGTTTGATTGAAAATAATTGTTAAAAGTCAAGTTTTAAATTTTTAGTGGACCTTTGTAATACACTGGCCTTACTCTTCAAGCCATTGTTCTATCTATACCAAGTAACATACTTACATAAAAAGAAGACTTATCCATGTAGCAATCTTTTAGAACTTTACTGTCTACAGCTTTATTGTTACACTGTTTCTGGCTATTTTGATGTCTCTGATAACACTGCAAGTAACATTATGGGGTTTGGTTTCTTTCCACAAGGAACTTTCATTTACAAACCCTGAGAAACCATTGTAGACAGCTAATAATTTATCTAGACACTAGATCTGCCTTAGAGAACAACACCACAGCATTACACGTACCCAACTCAGCTCTCTAAATTGCAACAATGCAGAAGGAGATAAAGAAAAATGAGATCTCCACAAAAGTATTCTGATCATTGAACAGTGAATAAGTATTGTCAGAATTCAGCCTTGTGCTGGCTAGCTGGCAAGTCAAACTCAAATAACCCACGTATCTATCAACAATCCTGCAAGAAAATTCCCAGTGTGAATGCCATAGCAGACATGCATGATTTTTCTCATCAAGAACATCAGGATGCAGCAGGGATGATGGCTATAAATGCAATTTTCTAGGGGAAAACAGGATTCTGGTCTGCAAGAGGCAGACCCATGCTATAGCAGACTCCTACCAGCATATCCAATATTTTTATGATAAAAACAGCAGGCAGACAATGGGAAGTGGTATTTTCCTTACCCAGTTACCTTTAATATTTATCACTGCTACCAGCTTATGCCTATGGACAGCATTCACTTCAACAGTATTCGGAGTACACTTTGAAACTACTGTATCTAGATAATACTTTGAATTGTGTGGAAGTACATAAAACTATAGAATGGCTTGGGTTGGAAAGGACTTTTAAAGGCCATCTATTCCAACACCCCTGCAACGAGCAGGGACATCTTCAACTAGATCATGCTGGTCAGAGCTCCATCCAACCTGACCTTGAATGTTATCCTGCCTGTTATTTCCCCTCAGCACGGGAGGAAACAGAGAGAAGAGTCATCTTCCATATAGTTTGAATTTGACACAAGAAGATACCGAGAATCATGCCAACCTTTAAACAGCAGATTGGCTGTTGTTTTTACATGTTCAGTCAACCCTGACATACCAAAACTGCACAGGAGATGCTGCCAAACCTCTTAGCAAATAGCAGTTACTTGTGGAAGACGCTGGGACATAAAAATACATTTAAAACGCCTCTGTGATAATTACACAGGTATACAGCCTTTCATAATCACCAGCACTCTGACAGAAAATTCAAGTGAAGAAACAAAGAAAATAAGTGTAAAAACAAATTGCTGTAGAACCTATGATGAAGACATTAGAGCATTTATTTTAATTAGAGTATAGCCAACAGCTCTCAAGCATCAAATACCCAAAATATTACCAAACTAGATAACCAGTAGCAAATTTTGAATATCAGGTCTAAATATTTTAAGCCTTAAAATTTCTTTCTGCTCATGGATCATACTAACATACTACTCCTAAAGAAACATTGATACAGGACCAGAGATGTCATCTAACACAAATAATCACAAGCCCCAAGACAACAGGTATCCAGGGGGCAACCCTGACTATAAAAAAAACAAAATAGAGAGTTCTTCACAGCAACCAGAGCTACATTTATTTGCTAGAAAAAAACTGAATTTACTTCTTCCCTTTTGCCACGTTTCAGTCCACTGCAGAACAGCAGCGCTTTCCCCAGTTCTTGAAGAGAGTACAATGAAATAAACATGTAAGAGTGCCCACACCTACTACATTCACCCCAGGCTCGGATCTCAAAAAGCCTCCCAATACAGTAGGTACACTCAAATCCAAGACTGTTCTCATCTGTACTGTGGAACTCAGAGCTCTGAATGTAGATCAGAGCAAGTACTTCAAGTGAAGAGCAGTGGGGTGACTGCACACAATGCATATCTGGAATTCACTGGCTAAGCCAAAATCTTAAGAAGTTCCTTTCTAAAACTAAAATTATAATATGCAGCAGTTAAACAAGACAACAAATAGGAAGCCAGGGACAATTAAAGTTTGCTAAAAATGGTGTCTCAGTGTATGAAAAACAATATTCTCTCCCTATTCTGTTGTTCTTACATGTGTTGAGGTTTAATCCCAGCTGGCAACTAAGTACCATACAGCTGCTTGCTCGCTCAATCCTCCCCCAGGGTGGGCAGGAAAACCACAAAGAAAAGGTAAACCATGTAGACTGAGATAAGAATAGCTTAATAACTGAAATAAAATAATTTAACTCTGCATCCTAACCAAAATAAACCTCACCTTCATGTACCATGTACCTTCCTCTCCTCATTCTAACTCTGATACAACTCTTCTGCAGTTCCCAAGCTAAAAATCAAATAGTTATAGCAATTAGCACCCCCTTCATTAATGCTTAGATCTTAGGAAGGTCTCCAGGAAGTAGACCTTAGGGGTTAAATGACTCAGAAAGGTACTGAAAACTAAGTGTTTCACAGCAATTAAAAGTACTGGGGAAAAGTAAAGTCCCATACACAAATTCATGCCAGCTCACAACGGATATCTATTCGAATAGTTACTGTTTTTCTTACGATATTTTGCAGTAACATGAAGAAATTATGAAAATTTTCATTTGCATTTATATTGATTTACTCCAATGTTAAAAGCTCACAATTTCTGTCAATAAAGTGTTAGGAACATGTAATATTAGTTTACAAACTTTGCATATTATGTACTACAGGCAATAAGGACATCTCAGTGTGCAACTGGATTAAAAGAATCTTTTTTCCTGAAAATAAAATAATTGTGTAATGAAAAGTCCCAGGCAACCTGCTACAATACACTTAATACTATGCAAGCATAGCAGGCTGCTATTCTCGTCACAGTGTCTGCAAAGATAATTTTTGGGTTTGTTACTGCAAACTAGTTGACTGCCATCACATCTTGTCTCAGTCAAGAGATGGTCTATGTATATTGACTTTGTTTGGGTACTTTTCTTTTTTAATCAATCTTATGTGTTATATCATGCTGTAAGTAGACAGAAGGAACAACGGATGGAAGTATTTGTAAGAAACTCAGGTACCAAGATGAAACAAAATCCTTCCTTAGAACAAGGGATTATTATTGGCTAGTCAAAGAGAGAGAGATCTTCTGATGTGACATGCATCAGCTAAGACTCAATGTAGTCCCATTTTTACTTCTCACACTCCTCACACCTTCCACAGAGGGTTCAAAATGAAACTTCAGGTATTGTAAATAAACACTATCATTTGCATTTTACCTGAATCTGATTTATATTGAAGGACTACTCCAAATTAGCCATTGTCTAGCATTCCTTAGCCAAGTGAATGTAAAACACTGACAAGACACTTTATAAAGGTGCAGAGGTCCCCAACACACTATACTATACAATCATATTAATTCAGGACTAACACCCCCAAAGGCAGGAGGCACAGAAGCATCTTCCAGCTGTAAATGACGTTAAGAAAACTCTCCAGCAGTAATAAGGAGAACACGGCAACACAGATCCTGGACAGAAATTGACATTTGCCTCATGAGTACAGTGCTTCTTGTAACAACACAAATAACTTTCAGAGCACTGTTTAGGAGTAACCTAATAAAAGCAGAAACATTTAAACTGTCTCAGACTGTCTATATTGCTTGAGACTTAAGGAATACATACTTAGCCAGTAAGCATTTATTAATAATTTCCAAATTTCTAAACTTAAAAGATTACAGAAGTGCAAACGTTTTTAAAGGAAAATGCCCCGCACTTCCAGCCACACTGCAAGGTGAACTTACCAGTTTATTTGGATAACGTAAAACCACTGGCTGCACAGGAACTCCAGGAATAAATGCTCCTAGAAGACACATATGACACATAATTACTATATTAGTGCATTATGCTACAAAAGAAGTTTGCTGCAGCAAGAAATAATTATACAATTAATGGGCTGACAGGAATTAGTTGATAGTGAAAAAATAAGATCTGAAAGTAGCCTCACAAGTAATTGAAAAAGCAAGCACTGGAGAAAGACGATGTATATCCATCTTTTCAGCAGATAATTAAAAATGCTTTCTTGCGTTCTCTTAATTATTCTCTACCCTTTACATATATTGTCATGCACACAAGTCAAAGCTCAGTACCAAATTCAGCTTGATAAATGATTAAAAAAATATGAGTATGTGCAAGATAGTTCAGCAATATATTCCCCATGGTTATTTTTTTGGTGAAGAATCCAAGCTTGCTTATGCAAAAGAAGCTTTCTATTTTTATTTGAGCAACAACAATTTATAGGTAATTTATCTTCTCTGAAATAACAGAATTAACATAACTTCTATTCCCTAGTTATGGAAAATCTAATAGTTATAAAGTATTGAAATGCAGCGATTATACAGAAGCATTGCTTTATTTCATATGAAAATTGCAGTTCTGATTAAGTAGCACAAGATCTACGTCATTTGCTAAGCATTTTCTTGGTTTCTAGTACAAAGATTGGGTAAGCATGATAACTATCTTGCTCAGATGTTTAGATTCCTCTAAACATCTTTTTCTCATGAAGAAATTAAAACAGCTTACTCAAACTGCATTATTTACAACAATTTACTAAGTTCTCTCTAATATTCCGACTAAAATTAAGAACTGAATGATTGCAGTGTACCGTATTCTTAGCATTACATTGGCTTTACAGAGTAATTGTTGAGATATAAAAGTAGTAATTGTTAATGGAGTATAAACATCTTTAAATGAAGGTTGTCTGAATAGAATCCTGCAGAGATTCATGGCCAGTGGAACTTTCCGTTCAGTCTTGAAGAACATTTTAAGTAACTTTTGAAATAATCCAAAGCTGACAAAATCTGAGTGGTAGATGACAACACCACCACTTGAACAAAACTAAACTACCTTGCCCTGTATGACTAGCTTGCACAAACATAAAACCAAAAAAAAAGTAGTTAAGGGCAAGGGGCATAGGCCACATGAGTAGAATGGGGAAAGGCATCCAGAAAGCAGTTACTTGAATAGAGATCTAAAGCAATGTGATATAAGTAAGGAATTTTCAGATAAAGGCTTTCTGAAAGGCTAGATGGATACAGAAGCAGGTTTCGGTAGGAAAAGTGAGGCAGTCAAGAGGCGGACAGCAGCATGTATTAGGCCAGAGGAGAGGAAGCTAGAGTGAGAATTTGAGATGGAAATACATGTCACAGGTCTATGTCACAGAAGGAAGGCAGTAAATCAGGGCTTAAATGAAAGATTCAGGTTAGTTTCCAAAGCACAGTCAGGATTCAGGTGGAAAGAGATGGAGAGCAAAGAGCTAAAGAAGTGAATGTTTCCCTAACCATCACTCATTCATCTAAAAAGGTAAGAGCTGAGAGACAAGCCTGAGATTCCTTCAGCCAAATAAATGAGAGCAAGGAATCACAATGCTGACTCTCTGCATGATATTCTAGAAGTCATATGTAAATTGTAAGCAATGCAAAATACAAGTCACACAGTAAGACCAGAACACAACGAGCTAGGTAGAAATCTAGGAAGAGTCAAAAACCACGTTCACAACTGCCTTGCTCACTGAAGCTTCTTCACTATCTCCCTGTCTACATGATAAAGGCAGGTTTACATTAAAGTTTGGTGGTTCACTGCAGTACTGGCATTTCTCCCTATTGGAACTGCAGTTTACAGCTGCAGCAACGTTCAGTTACAGCCTCGTCTAATCTGATAAGCTAAAAAGGTGATAGTAATTGTAAAGAGCTTAGAAAGTGGATGTTACATAAAAATTGTAACCTTCCTAACAGTGCTATATGGGAAACTTTTGTGCCATCTTCACCAGAATGCAACTCCACAGAAGAGGAATCATCTATATACAACAGCAACAACAAACGCTGAGGCAGGCTGAAAGAGATTCATGCTGCTTCCTTAAGCTTTATAGTGTATCTAAATGCTGCATGAGAGATCCAAAATAGGAAGTGGAGGAGGCAAGAAAAAGAAGGAAAAAGAAAAGAGACAGCCACAAACAAAAACCCAGTAAGAAACACTAGTCTTCCAGCTCATATGCATCTCAGAAGCCAAGAAAAAACCTGAATTATCTAAAATGTCTTGTTCGATTGTGGAATTACAAACCTCCTGTAGCATCAGAAAATTTCTATTCCAATTTCACCCTATTGCAAGATTTTTAACTCAACTTCTGCAACAGCAAGCAAATTACAATGCCAGTGGTATTTCAAGAAACAAAGATACAAGAACATTATGTAGAGAACAGAGAAATGAGTATAATACCTACCAGGTTTGAATGTAATTAGACAGGATCGGTTTGTGCAAGTGCCCTCTGGGAATATCATTATCTTGAAGTAAAAGAAAAGTTGACTTTTAAAAACTATTCCAATGTGAATGTATTTAGAAACACATCTTTTCAAAACTGATTACAGCAAAAATGTTTTCAGGGAAAAACAATTCAGATAGATTAAAAAAAAATGGTGCTCAATAAAGAAGTCAAGTAAAGTTCTACCTTAATAGTAACAATATTTTTGTTTATCTGTGAATTTGCCTCTTTCTTGCCCTCAATAATAATTTTATTTATTGCAACACTGATGGTGACCAGAAACACTTGTAGAGCATAAGAGTATTTTCACCAAAGGTTTCACCAAAACAAAATTCCTGCTCCCAGGCAGAAAAGAAAACAGTTATTTTCTTGTTGCTATTACTTGGCATGTGCACAGATGTCCAAATGACAGAGGCTGAAAATGCCTAAACAGAATTCTAACAAAGCAAAAAATGCCAAAGTTGAACCAAATTCAGTAGAAGAGGGTAGATTGTAAAAAAAACAAACCCACAAACAAAGTAACAAAAACCCCCAAAAACCCATATCACAAGGAGACAAAACAATGGACCAGAATTAACATTACTAGTTTTATTGCCCAGTCTGGTACTAGCTTGATTTGAAATCTCATGATGGAAGTCATAATTCAAAAGCTATACATCACCTTTCTGTCTCATTGTTTATAGCTGTTTATAATGTTTCTGCAGTCCAGTATGCAGGCATAACCACTGTAAGCAGGAACAATGCCAAAAAAACATACGGTATCCCAATCTCAAAAAAAATCACAGGAATGCTTCAAATTTGCAAAATTACCACATGCTTCCAGAAATATGAGATCTTAGGTAGTCATCCCTTCCTTCCCACTACTCTCTTTCAAGGCACATTATAAATAGTCACATTTTAGGTGCAAAAAAAAAACCCTGAGCCACTTATTTTATCCATGCTTTCATCGTGTGGTCCAATAGAGGTGTGCTCTGGTTATTTGGGACATCCAAACTGCTTGGGCTGTCTTGCCCAGTATCACATCTCCAAAAACGACACTACACCAAAATCTTGTGAAGGGCAAGAACACACAATACTTCCCTGGGTATTCTCCTGAGCACCTAATTTTTTCTCCTTAGAGGACTTTCTGTCCATTTAGTCTCACTTAGTAGAGCTCTCCATCTCATGTACTTACCCAGCTCACCTTGAAACACAATGCAATGAGAAACAGATAAGAATCTTAAATTATATCTTCTAGAAAAAGGAGGTGGAGGAAATTTCACCCCCACCCTCCACCCCAAACCATCTAAAGCCACTCACAACAAAAAAATGCCAAATACCATTCCTCAAACGGTAGCAGAATACAGTACCTGTGGCCATTTCCCATCAGACTGAGCACGTCTCTTTATCTCTTCAACGGTTTTCCTGCGAGAATCCTGGTCTGACCGAGACACAAATACTGGTCGGATGTATTTGATTAGAGCTGAAGAGGAAGGAAAACAAAACCAAACAAATCAGTCTTTATTTCCTTTTTGTTTGAAAAAGATCCCCCCCCACCTCACCTCTGCCTAGTAATCCTCTGGACAAATATTTTGGTAGAAGAACATAACTACTTTACTATATTACACTGCAAACTTAAATACTCAGCTGAATTACTGCAGTTTTCTTGAAATAGTTCCAAAAATGCCTGTGAGGAAAACCAATTTTGCTATTTTGGCATTATCTTTTCATGAATTCCTGTGAGGAAAACCATTTTCACAATTTTGCCACTTTGTAATAGTTCAATTTTTAATAGACCAATCCAAACCAATATATACAACACAGACAATGTAAAACATGATGGTACATGTTATGTACAGTTCTCTGCAACAATGCAGCTGTGGCTTCTATAGGCCATTTCTTTCTGCCACAAAAATTACAAAGTCTGTAGTCCCTCCTAACCCAGCAAAGTAGCAGGAATCTCCCTCTTCCAAAGTGCTTCCAAAAGATATCCTACGGGTCAGATTGTCTCTGTTTTTAGAGCTTTTATCTTCTATGACAGCTCAGCTTCACTAAAGGTATACCACAAGAGATATTCCATATACTGATGTTATTTTTTTGTGAGGACTCAGTATCATCAAAAGAATAAGTGTGCTTATTTTCTCAACTGTCATCTGCTTGTCTGTTCCTCATGCCAGCTGAATTAGATCTCAGACATCCTCTTCCTGGCTCAGTGGGAATCCACTTGTACATAGCCAGACACAAAATGAACACAAGCAAAAATCAAAAATCAATCCACAAGATCCAGTCCATCCATGTCAGTCACCAGGACACCAGAGACAACTTTCAAAATAATAAGCATATGCAGCTGTTTTGCAGTGTCCAAAAGCACTACAAGTGAAGCACATTCAAATATACTGCTTCATGCTTTTATTTAAGCAGGTTGTCTTCAAATACCTTTTAATAACTTTTTTTATCTCGTATTTTTATTCAAAGGTTCCAGAGTGTGGTGGTTTGGAAAAATATTGGCTATTCTATTTGCCCAAAATACTGTTTTCATATTTCCAACCACCGTGGGATGAGTTCACTGCCACTAATTGTATAATCTTTTGCTAAGGATAGATTTGCTGCATTAATGGATCAGCCAGTGCTTAAAGCGTGAAGAAAAAACAAACACTATAAGGAATTACAGTCCTGTACTCAGCAAAAGCTGCTGGTTCTGGTGCTATCCTACTGGAATTTTAGCCAGCAACTCACCAAAATCTTTCTGTGGCCCTGAGAAACTAATCTGTCAAAACTTACAGCAAGGTCCCAAACATTCAGCCAGCCTCTGAAATATTGCTTTTATTCCACAAGTTGCCAAAGCTTAGGAAACAGTATATCACAGAAAAGTTACCTTAGTCTTGCACTTATTCCTACATGCCTGCTCTTAGACAATATCTGTACAGCAGTGCTTGCTAGGGGAGCAAAGATCATCATTGGTCAGCTGGGCTTACTGCTGGGGGAAGCTAAAAAAACCAACCAACCAACCAACCAACCAACAAAAGCCCCCAAACAAACAACAAAAAGATTAATACATAAAAAATTGGGGAAAAAAAAACCCCAAACACAGAACAAGCAATAAAAATAACAAGGGAAACCATATCTGGTATCATAATTGTTTCTTAGTGATGCTACTCCTGAGTTTGCCCTACTGTTGCAAATTACTATTCCGTAGCAAAACCATTATAAAATAAAAGAAAGCAAAAGACCCAAACATCCCCAGCATTCACTCCAAAGTTTCTTTTACGTTAGGCCCAAATGATGGAATTTGGGTTGCTTCAGGCCAAGGAATAAGATAAATCCAGAGCTCCAAGGCTTTGGAGGATTGCTGCAAGCAAGGTCTTCTCTGTAACACAAGAAATTAAGCAAGCAGGTAGATTTTACTTAGGGCAACATGGCAGAAACATCAGATTACACTAATGTCATCTGTATCTGAAAACTGTATGGGTAAGTTGTACGTAAACCTGGGAGCTTTACTGTTACAACCTTCCCAAAAGCAAGCTACTGAGCTCCGAAGTAACACACAGCAAGTTATGTCATAATTACCAGCACCATAAACAGCAACACACCCATATGCAAAGAAAACCTATTATAGTATACTGAAAAAGAACAGAGACAACTGAAAGCTTTGTTTCCTATGGATTTGTCTTGTCTGTTGAATTATATGACACAAAATAGTTCAAACAGTATTTTCATGCAGCTTGCAGAACTTAGTATCTTTTAAATGATCACCTTTTTTCAAATACATGTGTGAAGACATCACTATTTCAACTCACTGCATCAAATCTTAGACAGGGTGGTCATATTAATTCTTATTTCCTTAGAGATCAGACTAAAAGCTGACAGAATTCTTGTTTTACTATTAAAAAGCAACTGAAGATCCTGTAAGACACCAGCTACCAGATCTTAAGTGGTTAAGTGAAACTGAAACTCCCATCAGTAGGACGCTGAAAGTACACACCAAAGGAAGGCTAGCTCTGTACTTGCCTTTCCTCATATACTCTTTTCTTAACCACTTTTGAAAACAGAGCACAAAGCTATACAGACCTTTACTCTCACCACATATTTTCATATTCAGTAAATAGACAGAAATCTGAAAATTCAAAGGCTGTACCAAGTCAATCTCTGCAAGAAAGTCAGGGACAGGGCCAAAGGATTGCAAAGAAAAGCTGAGAAACATACCAAATAAGTGGACAAGATTAGACTGAGGTCACATGTCAAGTCAAAACACAGGGAGAGCATACCACAAGGTAGTATGTGATGCAAGGAATAGGCAGGACTAGAACAAAGTCAGGCCAGGAGCAAAAAAGCAGCATGCATGAAAACGCACCAGACAGTTGGCATACTGAGCAGTTAAAGGCAACAAGCAGAAGCGTGCAATATGTTTAATAAACAGAACATAATCATATCTTTCTCTGCTCAGCAATTTAACTGTCCAAGACTGACTGTAACCAGGTACTGAAGACCACAGCTCAAGTACCCAGAGATTCTGAAAAACGTGCTTGCCCAGCTCCTCTCACGCCACTAAAACCACCCTTGAATTATCAATTCTATCATGCAAAGACAGACAACCCCTCAATTCACAAAACTGACCTTGCCAGTGTCATTATTTCAGCTTTTTCTCTAGCAGTGTCAGTCCTGAGGACAGCTGACATGCTGTACTCCACCTTCTTAGGCAGGTGCCTACAATTTAAACAGTACTGCCTGTAATTCATTAAAACCTCTGTCTTGCAAGGCAGCCAGAACACCACAGATACGCTGAAAGCTGCTCTAGCACAAAACAGCCTTTTTTAAGAGAGCCTGCAAAAATTCAATATTGCTTTAATTAATTGCAGGGTGGCAGCTCCAACTGACTTCAGAAATATAACTCCCATGCAATCAATTTAAGCACCACCTCAGTGCATATGAAAAAAAAAGGTTTCTCCCTGATGAGTTGAACACATACAACTGGTGTCAATGAACTCCTTAAAATAACAGCAGAAAAAAAATTATTTCACCTTTCTACTTGGAGGCAAATGAGCGTGAGGAAACCTTGTTACAAATCAAGACAGGAAGTGCTATATAACATACAATAGTATTGTAGCAAACCATTTAAATTATGTTTGGCAGTTACAACCATGTAGTAGATACAGCTACACTGGCAACTTCATCACTGGTTCTCCAAGGCATCAGAGAACACAAAAAGCAATGGAATAGCAATGTGGCACTAAATACAGTTCTTCTAAAAGGTATCCATACACGCATTTTTGAGTAGGCAGTTACATTTTCACCACTGTAGAATCAGCATCAAACAAAGTCACAGATCTGCTGCAAAAGTAGAGAATGATGAACTTAAGGCTTTCACTTGGCCTCTCTCCCAAACAAGAAAAAATCCCATTACATACATTCTCATGACACACTAAGAGGGCAGCCTACTGAGGCAGTACAACTGGCTCTGTTTGCATTTAACATGGAGGTAAGCTATACAAGTAGTCTTGCAGTGGGCTATCTATTTACAGTATTTACCCCAATTTTTTTCTACTATGGAAAAAATACAGATTATATTATTAGTTGCCCCCTTGTGCATTTTGTATTTAGGGGTACAAAAACATGAAGGCTTTTTTAATGAAGTAATATCTAATATGAAAACCACTCTTTTCTGGAGAGAAAAGAAGAAAAGAAATCTACAAAGGACTCAGAAGCCTTACAAAAGTTATGGGGAAAAAATCCATTAAGGTTCCAGACTAAAATTACCTCCTGTGTATATGGACACAGGGACCTTAAAAAGGGAAAAACTGAAGTCCACACACACTAAATACATGAAGTTGTATCTATGTACAAAACTCAAGTCAACCAAAATTAGGATCTTTTCCACTTGGAATTATATTGTTCTTACAGAAAAAGTTAAGAAAAAATTATTATAGTCATGGTACTCTACATGAGATCTGTAAAGTTAGTGGTAGAACATTATTAGAGCAACAAATATACACAGAAACAAATACCAAAGTGTAAGACTAAAATCTGAACCAACCACTGAAGCTCAATGCACGTCAAGAACTTCTCCAAGTTTGACTAAATGTCTAGCAGATGGACCACCTGACAGAAGGGATACCAAGTATTCCTGGTATAGAAGCGGCCTTAACAAAAAAATTCCCCTCTCTATTTTCCAAAGAGAAAGGCAGGACACATGCAGTCTGCAGTACAGGGAAAAGTCAGTAGTGGAAGGTAAATAATGAGTGTCTTTTTTTAGCTTTAACAGAAGTAAATTCTGTGGTATTTGGGTTGGTCTTTCAATATGTAATCTATTTCCCTTAAGGACTTCTTGAGGCACAAAGATCTTATTTTATATCACAGAGATTGCTGTTTGCTTTCACACCTGCAATACCTGTATGAGGGCATGGCTGTATGTTTCAGCTTTCTACTGCCAGTCTCAAAAGTATTTAAGGCAGGCAGTAGTGGTTTGCAGGTTTCCTACATACTGTAGTTGGTAACTTCCATGAACCATATTAACAAGTATGCCTAAAAAATATGATGGTGGTTTAGGCACTCCAGCAGTAGTTTAAATGAGAAGTAATTTTTACTTAATTTCCCAGGACTCCAACCCAAATAATAAAGGCATACCTATAATACACAGATGATAGTGCAACTATTTTAAGTCTTTCCAAGAGAGCTCCTCTGAGGACAGAAATCTTGCAGGGCCACCTGGGTGCCCACAGCCTGAAGGAAACCTTAAATTTTGAAACGGAAGGTTTTAAAGGAAAGGATGAAATGGATAAGCTTGGCAACAAATTCAAGATGCTCATCAGAACCGGGGAGCTCATTCGTGTACTCAAGGCAGGCTACAATGCCAACATAGCATAGGATGCTGGCTTTCGTCCTGGTGACCTTAGTGTTTAAGCTGCTGATTTACAGTGTATAAAGACAAGAAATCTGTGATGCCTTCACCTTAGAGCAGGTTTTTCCAAAAAGAATTCAAGGACTGTTTTGATTAATCTCAGAAGTACTTGAATGCGAGACTCTCACTGAAGAACTTGAGTCTACCACAGTTCTCTTCCTTCTGTGCTTTGGAAGGGGTGGGGGAGAGGGAGGGGCATGTAAGGTGAAGGACCAAAGGATTAGGTTCCATAACAGAGCTGATGAGTAATTTGGCATCTTTTAAGGTTTGAAATGAAAACATACCCAGCTACTAAAGCACAAATATTTCCCCCGAATTACTTATTTCTCATCTTTTAGTCATGATGCTTTAGAAAAGCCTATAATGTCCTTTCAAAAGATGAGCTCAAACAAAAAGTCACAAGTTTACTAGATGTGGAAAAAACCATCCGTGACAGAATTGATAGTTTTACATCACGGTAAGATTCTTCCTTCCTCTACAGCTCTTATGTATTGCGCCAAACAGAAATTACTTCCTTCCTCTTTATAAACTTAAGCTAATATATCCCCCCCAAATTTCACAGGTACCAAATGCCTCTTCTTTTCAGAGGGTGATGTTCGAGATGTTGAGAATTTGCTTAAAGTTTAAACTAGCTTATCACCTTAAATTTAGTTTCTAAAAGTTCACATCACTGAAGATGTTCAAATCACAGAAGTGATCCAACAAAATCCCCATAAACCCATATTTGCTGATAAATTCCTTTTCCTTCTTATTGAAGCATTTCTGCAGTAGCACTGACCACTTCACAATGAAAAATTACTTTTTCCTAGGTTGCTTCAACAGTCAAAAACAAGGCAGTGAAGTGTAACTATCCAGAACTTATGCAAAAACCTTGTCCTGACTTAAAGTGAGATTCAGCAGACAAAACAGGAAAATGTAAGGACTTGTGCTGATAAACTTCTTCAGTCCATGTAAGGTATAACAGACTCCTAGACGTCATCTTCCCAGCTGCACATTTTACACTTACGCGGTCAGGCAAATTTCACATCTCCAATCTACCAAAACTCTGGAAAGTCACTGCATGGAAACATATGTCTTCCTTCAGCATCATGATGCATTGTCTGTTTGGCATTCTCTACTTCCCAGATACTGACTTTTTTTTGGTTGAAATCTCGTTTATATTTGGGCAAACAGTTCCTCCCCAGAGTTTGTTAAACTTGTGTGCGTGTGCCAAGTGGATAATTTTCTTCACTACTGACCACTAACTGAAGAGTTCAATACTCTTCCGTCAGAACAAAAGTGCATTTTTAAATTTGAGTTTTCTTTTCTTTGTTTTCCTAAAAAGGAGGAAGATGTCTGTAAGAGTCACAAGACTTAAGTCTGCTTCTGAAATTGGACTTTGTGGTCCAGAAGAGGAGCCTTCAAGTTAGAAAACAATAAAACACTCATGCATAAGCACACTTTTGGAATATTTCAATCCCATGAAGAACAGGCTTTTAATAATCTGGATTTGTAAGTGGATCAGAAGCTTCCATGACTAGCAAACTAAGGGTACAATAATACAGTTCCAGAAACCTATTAAGATATTTGCAGGGCCAATTTTAGTAGCCAGTTAGCAATCAGATCTTTTTGCACCTGCTAAAGCACCTGATCCCTTTGATATAGAACGTACAATGTCCCAATAAACACTGTCATTACATAAAAAAGCCAACTTATTTATATCACACTTGGATATTTTGGATGACTATCTACTCTTTACCCAAAGTTCTTGTCCTTGAAAACTATCTTCAAATTTCCCCTGTCATGTCATTTTTTACATGCCTGAGTCTGTTCAGAGAGTTAAATGAATGTACTTCAGTCAAAGCTTCCCAGAAGGTTCTGAATGACCATTTACAAGACTCCATTAACAGATAGGAAGGTTAGGATTATCAGTGACTAACTACAAAACTTTACTGGAGATGGTATAACAAGTCTGCAAGACTTACAAAACCGAAGAACATAAAAACCAATTCTGACCTCTCTGGAATAAATTCTAGATGAATGTCTAGAGTGTTGACAATTCACCAGGCAATCCAATAAAAACAAGCACCTTTCCACAGATAGACGGCATGACAGAAATATCATTTTTTATTTTTTTTTTTTTATTTTTTTCATGTGTGTGTCTGTAGAGAAGTGTAAATAACATTAGGATTAAAAAACTATATCAAAGAAGATAGCACTATTTGCTTCACAGAAAACTTCTTTCAAGCAGAAACATAAATAAGTACATAACTTTACTCCACTAGAAAGTTTTCTCTAATTTTTAAGGCAAACTAATCAATATAGTGATTACTCACCTCTCTGTTAAGGTCCATTTACTTAAATAACACAAACTGCTGTAATTAGTGTTGCTCATACAAAACTACTCCTCTAAAAACAAAACAGGTTTTTGAACTCTGAATCCCAGTTATGATCTTTGCTATGCCTCATTTCTATGGCATTTTTGTGAATACTTTAAAAGGGACTACATAACTTTTGTGGTTGCATAACATAAAGCAAATGCAACGATACAGGACAAAACATCCATTTATTTGACTGCGCTGTACATTCCAGTAATATTCCATCAAATCACTAAACGTTTTCTGTTTTTCTGTAACTGGTTTTACTCACACATGAACAAAATCAAGTGAATAATTTTAAAAATGTATTGTAATAAGAATTCAAAAGAATTCTTTAAAAGTTACCTTAAAATTAAATTAGGTACATAGAAATAGTTTTAACTACTTGATGTGCATTATTTGTGTTTTGTTCAGTGGAACCGCAATCTCCATATCCCTACAAATTCTCCTCAGGCTTCCCCACTAGTTCCCACTGAATCTACAACGTGGGTAGTTAAGTACCCATTATAGCATTCTGTCAAATGCCATTTTGCCGTTTCATCACATTTCAGTAACACAACATGGCCAAGAGTTACCTCATCTAGTTTGGGTCCTCCATACAGTCCACCTTCAAGTCAAACAGGGTTCCACACAGACTACTTTATTTTGCTGAATCAGCAATTACTAAACAGCAAATTGAGTCACCCGAGAAAGAAGACAAATCTTCTGTGTCTTTTACGTCTGCTTCTATGTCTGACCTGCTTCTAGAGCCTAAACTGGCCTGGATACACCTATGCTGTAGGAGAGTGCCAACATACTGTCTCACAACAATATCTTCTCTCAGTACTGGACAAGGGTGTTAATTTTCTTTTTGTTTTTACACTATGCTTGTTTGCATACGTTTGTTTTCAAAAGCACATGCCTGTACCCTTTTTGTTCAAAGCATCTATTCCTTTTTAAACAGATTTTTCACTGCCACAAACTTCTAAATTCTATTAAGATATTCAGTGAAATTGAGATACAACTACAGTTCCAGCCTGAGCTTTACCTGATACAGGCAGACCTACAGGACTCCCTACATGAAGCTTCCATGTGTAACCACTCACCATTTCTGGCCACGTCTCAGCTTCTGGTTTTGAATGCAACCTTAAGAACACATTGTCTAATGAAATTTTAGGAGGATGTCAACACCAACAGCCTGATTCCACTTAGTTGCAAAGGAAGCCAAAGCTTTTGTTTAGACTTTTAAACTAAGGAGTCCTACCCAAGGCCAGAGTAAAATCTTTTGTCATTTTTATATTACCCTTAAAATCTACACAATGAGACAAAGGGAGATTCTTTGAACTCTGCCGGCCGCTAGACACAATATGGTGGACTTACCCAAAATGCTTCCACGTAGATTTTGTTTAGAAGTCTACAAGCCCAAAAAACTTACACTTTTTTTTTTGGCACAACTTCATCAAAAATCACATATATCTCTCAAATATTTGTGAGAATTTACATTGAAAAATTATAATACAAGATACTACTCAAACACTACTGACTCAGGCATCTGCTCTTCTCATGACTAAATCTGAGTGCACAACAATCTGCTCTTGCTCATCTCTCATACCCTGCCAGAAACAAACTTTGTGATGCGTGAAGGATTAGCAGCACTCCCTCAAGGCAGGGTACCATTCAGAGCAGACAACATTCCTAAAACATATTTCCAGCATGGCACCCCAGCTCACATCAAGTAAGAAGCCTTGGTGGACTTTCTCTCCAGCATCAGTCTTTGCTTCCATAGGCCCATCCTAATTTGCTTTTCTATCTGTCAGGTCTTAGAATGTTGCAATTTTACTGCAAATTTAACCTGAGTTCTGTAGGATTGCTTTGACTTCATACAATGATTCAATTTTGGAGAAAGGGGAAAAAGAAAAATATCTCCCTCAATTTTTTCCTATCAACATTCCAAGTAGATCAGTTAAAAAAATCTCACCATATGTTATAGCAAATTTTTCTTTGTGTTTCAGCCCTTCTCATGCAAAGCCAGTGAACTTCCTAAGCAATGATTTTTGATTGTTCTTGAAAAATCAAGTATCTACCAACTTACTTCCCCAAATAGGAATATCTTTGCTTTCTGCTTTCATCACAATGGAGGCGAAGGTCATAGTTACTGGAATGGCATCAAAGTAGGAAGAATGGGGAGCCACAGTTAATATTGCTGCTTCCGCTGGCAATGCCCGTCTGCCTTTAACATTTATCCAGTGGAATCCACCAGCAAGCCACATCATTCTCATGATTGCCTTCAGCAAAACATCCACTATCCTGTAAAGAGTTGAGAAAACAGTTATGCTGCCACAGGAATACCTTACTACAATGAAAAGAAAAACATTGCTTAAAAACTTTATATACATGAGAAAAGTACAGACAGGATACGATGCTCAAACAGAGCTTCAACGCTGCACAGACTTCTAGTAGATTTAAGACCACTTTCAAGGTAAGATGCTGTTCAATTCATTTTATGCTTGAATATTAATCCATTTTAATCACAGTAAGATTGGCATTTATTTTATCATTAAACTAATTTTTATTCAGGCTATGACTGTTGAGTTTCCTGTACACAATGCCTAATGTTTTCTAGTAATACTTCAAAAGCTCTAATAAATTGAGTCCTAGGATACTGCTAGAATGCAATAACCCTGATTCTTGGTTTCAAGTTTATCCAAACAAAATAGTGGAGAAATATAGGGCAGAGATTCTCAAATACAGGAATGCCTACAGAATACATATGAGAACACTGGAAATATTTTGCTTTCTTCCCTTTTCCCCAACTCCTCCTAAAGTGTTTTGGGTGATGTGTTTTTGGTTTTTTGTTTTGGGGGAGTTTGTTGGTTTTGGGTTTTGTTTTGTTTGTGGTTTTGTTTGTTTGTTGTTTTTTGTGGAGTTTTGTTTTTCTGGGTTTTTTTAACTGTCTGGTAGTCATAAAAAGAGAAACTTTGAACCAACAGAGTACAAAACCCAAACACAACAAATTGTTACACTTACAGGGACTGGGAAGCTGGGGAGCAGGGTGACACTGAAAACTGGATTAAATGGGGGAGGGACAATTTTAAAGGATTTAAAATAACTGTATGCGAGACTGAAGGCAGTCCATTATTCCTTTAGTTATTATACTGATATCACTACAAACGAAATGTAAAGTGACATGCCTCTGTGGTTCTCAACCTCCTTCCCTCCTGTGATGCAAAACACAATCAGCTTCTCTCATGCTAGTGTCAGACCCTAATTTTAAAGTTCTCTACAGATGAGGTTATACACTTCATTTCTCGCTCCTCAAACGGCAGTATTCATGGATGGGTGAACACTATCTTACATGCTACCTTAATCAGCATGCCAATATCAAAACAAGTACAGACTTTTAATAAGCACTAAAGTATGGGGCAAGCCCTCAGGCAATCAACACAAGTTTTGTCAATTCACCCACAGGATAGAAAACAATGGGGTGAAGCGGTGTAAAATAACGATTTAGAATATGAAATCTGGGCACATTCCATAGAGTCAATCTTCATAACCAGAAGTTGACATTACAAGAATAGGTGAAAGTGAAGGATGCCACAACAAAGCTTCACACTATATACTCAATAAAGATCAGAAGACAGAGATACCAGTTTTTCTCCCTGTAATTCTTGGGTCACCTGGTAAATCCAAGAGTTGAGGTATCTTAGTTTCCCATCTGAGGAAAGTGTTTTATTTTTACATTTTTCTTTTGAAGAGAAAAGCCTATCTCTGAGACAGAGATGAGGTATTTCCCATCTTGTCTATTTCAAACTGCTGAACTATATGATGGTTCTCTTAGTAGTTCACCACATCAGTGACTCACCTTCGCCACCAGGAGAGGGGTTTTTCAAGCTCTCGCTCATCAGATCCCATTGAAGCAAGGAATGCAAAAGGCCAGGCCAGCAACATCATAAAAGCAGCAAAAAAGAGTCGGATAGGAAACAGAGTCAAGGTCATGAAGGCAATCTGCAAAACAATAGTAAAAAAAAAAAAGCATTATTCTAACACAATCTCAGACTGAAAAAAAAACCCATTCCTAGAAACTGATATCAAGTCTTAATTGAAAAATACCTAATATTAAGAACAGCAGAACACAACTCAATTCCAAACAAATAATTGTGGGGTATGCACAACAATTTTGTATTCACAATCTTAATTATAGCTGAAACACAACATGCTCAATAGAGCTAAGGGAGTCTTAGCTTTCCACTCTTCTTCTGACCCTATGTTTGTCAATGACTACAACCTCATGCTCTTTTTCCCTTTCTGCAGCCTCACACAAAGCAAATATTTAGCATAGGTGTGTTGTAAATTTTGTTGCACTACAGAGAAGTCAGTCCATCACAGCAGCTACCAGACAGTGATGTACACTTCAGCAGAGTGCACTCACACAGCAATACAGGATGCAAATGGGAAATTTTTTCCTCTGTACTATGTTTTTGAACCAGAAGTTGTGAGAATACTGTACAGAGACCTCTGGACAAACATCCAGACATGTATAGGATTTTAAGTTCCAGGTCTGCGCTATGAGGCACAACTCCCTGGAAAGCAGAGGTTTCCAAGAAGTTATCCTTCTCTAGGAAGCCATGGTGAAGCCAGTTGCTTCTGCGCCTGTTCCCAGCACTCTGGTTCTCAGAGAGGCCATTCCCTGACAATCAGTCCTCTTCCTTCAACTCTGCTGAAAAACATGTCACGTTGGAACTTCTCCCTCAGTCTTTTAAAGAATTCTCCCAAACGTAGAGCCTTTCCTGAGCTGTTTGGAGTTATTTCCAACTGTCCTCCAGAAAACACTATCTGTGCAGTGATCCACTTGCTCCAGGAAACAGTTCCACGGTCCAAGTCACATCTTTCTCACTCAAAAGACAGGAAGAAAGAAAAAAAACCCTCTTAAAGAAGAGAGGGTACTAGCTAAGGGAAAGAGAGGGAACTGAAAACTGTTTGAAGCTGACTGGGGTAGCACCAATGTTCCTCCAGCTGTACAATGGAGGCTAACAGAAGATGAAGACACTAGGAAGCAAGGGCCATGTAAAGAGAATTTAAAAGTAAATATGCTACATATTCACAGGTGTACTAAATAAGGTTTAAAAAAAAAAGCACTTTTCAGCATCACAATGGCTGGGCAAAAATGAGTAACAGGCATAAGCTGCTGTCTCATGTTGTGCCTAATCTGATGAATCTCCAGGCTGCTGTGGAAAGCTTTATTCATATTCTTCTCTTCCCTGATGCAGATCCAGTCATCATGCAGCTCAGTTTCCCATCGATCAGTTCCCGATTCCTCTCACTTCCCAAAACAGCTCAAGAACCACCTCACCCTGTAGCTGCACATATCTGTAGATCTAGGGTAGGGGCAGGGAGCACACAATAGAAGAAAAGCCCAAGGTATCAGTTTCAAGGCCTAAGCTATCAGACCACTGCAATACCAGATTTTACAGTGATGGTTCAGACTGGCACCGCTACAAGACATCATCTTGTAACAATAATGGTCTCACTCCCCAAACCAGGATTCCAGTCCTTGTGTAGACTGCTTTAGTTTGCAGAACTGATAGAAAAAAGATTTTTTTTGTCTTAGATAGGCTATTTTCTCAGATGAAATAGTAAAACTTAACACACTGCAATGGTCAGATGAGTGTCAAAGTTACACCAACTCACACAACTCTGCATCCACAGAGAAGACCACCATGTCTGGCAGCAAATAGGGGAGCTTTCTGGAGATGAGAGAGCAGCTGCTTTCTAAGTTCTTAAAATGAGAAGGACCAGCCACCAAGAAATAAGGGAAACAAAATGCAGGTGAGGACACAGTCCTCTGGGATTCACACTCTCTCCCTCCCACTCCTCAAAGTCTCCTCCTATACCAAGGCAAAGCCAAATGGCAGGTGACTGGGAGTGAAATATTTCATCCTTTGCACCTCTGTAGCAATCCTTTGTATCAAGATCACTTTAGTGCCACATCACAGAAGGGAAGCAGTACTTGCGTCCCTCACGTCATGAAAGGTAGCATAAATGTGCAGAAAAGGCCTCTTGGTCTTCCAAAGACAGCATTGGTGGTAATGGCCAGCAAGCAAGTGCACCAAGTGCGCAGTCTGGCTGTGACACCAGCCTCTTTTTAGCAGGTGGTAGTTCAGTACCTGCCCACATAAGAAATTTGGTAGGAGAGAGAAATATACTTAGCCCCTGAAGGAGGTTAGGAATCGTGAAAGACACTAACATTTGAAAACCAGTCCAGTCTACATCTATATTCAGACATCTTCCTGGGTAAGAAAGCTTCTATCCTGTTTTACAGGATAATACAGTAATAGTGTCAGTGTCAGACAGAAAAAGGGATAAGATCCTGTCCCCACTGGCTATTATCATCGATCAGAATGCACAAGATACACACTTCTGGACTGACCTTGTACAGATATCTTATGTTGAAGATCACATCTTTACACATTTAGGGCATTCACCCAGACATGTCTCCTATTAAAATTACAAATTCTGTCTGCTAATAAGTCATATGTAAACAGCTGTGTTTTGAGACACATTTTAAAAAACCCTAAAGGTTCATCTGGACTTGTACTTTGGGAGATTCAGCTCATGATCAAAATTCTCAAGAGGGGTTTGACTACAGCTTATTTAACATTTGTTGGTCTACAGGATCCAACTTACTTTTTCAGAAGTTGCAGTGTAAATTGTGAAAGACCCATGGACAGCAGGAAGAGAGCGGATGGTCTTACAGCTTGTAACAGAAGGCTGCCCTGAGAAACTGATCTCCACTATGCCATCAGAATAGCTTCAATCTGATGTAAGGCAAGTCACTTAAACTAAAAAGGTATCATATCTTCTCCTTGTTTAGAGACTCTGCATTCAGATTTGAGTGTGAATTCATGATGAAGGTGTAAAATATAGACTTAAAAGGGACTTAAGTTCTTCAGAACACCCAGAGCAAGAGAATCAGAGTATCCTTGTTTCTACTTCTGTGGGTCCATTTCCTGTCTTGAAATCCACTATCATACCTCTCACGCCCCGAGAGGCAGAAAAATGCAACTTTGAAATTAGCGATACAGTGAGAAATATCATTAAAAATCAGTTTATCCATAACAAAATTTCCATGACTTGTTATAAAGTAATTGTGTACTGAAAAAAGGAAATAGTATTTGACATGGTAGAGGTTTGATTTTTCTTTTACACATATCAGATAGAGATTACATCTTGCCCCACACTTTTACTTCCTCACTATTATCATCCCTATAGCACAACTCAAAGATGGCACTGAAGAAGCTATGAATTCATCCCTCAGCAATTCTCTTTCCCACTCTCCAAATTCCCCACTTGACACATTCATGGAAACAAACAGAGGAGTAGAAATTTTTATGTGCAACTAAGCCAAGCTAAGAGATCACTGCTGCTAAAGAGAGTGGTCCTGTTCACTGCCTCCTCAATGCTCCCCTTGAGTCAGCTCTAGCACTTATGTGAACTTGCAACCAGAGAATACAGCTCATTAGCGGGGGAAAAAAAAAGCCATCCCAGCAAAAGAAAACAATCAGAACACAGAAAAACACAATGATATGCTGGTTTAATGAGTCAAATCAGCTCACCAAGACACCAAATGAATGCCAACATCGGTGAAATAAAAGGGCCAGAAACACTGGAAGCAAAGAAAATGGCATCATACTGTGTTTTTAAGTAGCAGGGAAACAAAGCTACAGACACTTAGTGACAGTTCAGCTCTGGTAATGCTTCTGCCTGTTCTGCAGCAGTAACTAGAATTAAGAGCTTTGACTTACGTGTTGGTGCCCAGAAGAAATTCATGGTTAATGAAATCAGGTCTGTCTTCCTCTCAGAAAAGATCTTTTTATTACAGTACCAAAATAAAACAGGTAGCTTCAAGAATGATCCCTACTGTCACCCTCAGATCAGAGTAAAATAGCCATCATTTCTACAGGATGAATGAGATTCAGTTCTGAAACAGCATCACTGCTTTTATGCTCCTGTAATCTCCCAGATTATAAATTTTATAAAGTCATTAAAAGATGATGTGAACAGTTCCTTCACAGTCAAAAGGATTTCTTTTTGCTGTTCTTCCTCTTTATGGTTGTTTTGCCCTCTTACTTTCAATCTTTCTTTCACTCCCACAGTCTCAGACTGAAACGTGCTAAAATGCACTTACTTTTGAGTTGTATTAATGAATAAAAAAGCTAGTCTAACCTCTTGTGAAGTGCAGGACGAGGCTGTAGGGAAGATAATGGGGCTATCTGGCAGACCACCAGCAACAGACAACACACCTTCAGACAAAGCAGTCTTGTCTCCCAGTTCCCTGTGCTTCCTATTTCTTATACCTGCATTCTTGACTTTCCTCGATAGGCTCTGCAATTCCAGAAGTCCCCTGCTAGATTCACAAGACAAACAGAAAAGCCTGTGACACAATATGTGCCCACAGCTGAACAGGAAGTGAGTTCAGCTGTAATAGTTCACACCGAACCCTCTGTAGCTGGCCAGGACTGTATGGAAGAGAACATGCACTGCCATAATTCACCCTGGGGAGCACTTCTTCTGGGAGCATTTCTCACAAGTGGAACAGTTCCACAGCTCTTCTTTAACAGCTTCTGTCTCAAGCACACCTTTTAATCGGTGAAGAAGCTGGAAAAGCATGATTAAGGCAAAGAAGAAAATCTATCACAGTTCCGTTTGTCAGCTTACGTGCTTTTTCCTCACATAAGACTGCAAAAATAAGACTGCAAGAAAGGCTGGGTTCAAGAAATCGGTGCTGCTGTATATCAGTAAAATATAACTCACTTAAAAAGCAAGACTGAGACATGCTCTTTGGCAAGGCAGCTACTCCTTTGGTCTGTGCACCATCAAAAATTACAGAGCTTTAAACGCATCTTGCAGTTTTCATTGAATGTAATAAATCCTTGAAGTCCATTAGAAAAGCTCACATTTTGTACAGATACACAGGGCAGCCCACACAGAAGGCAGGTATGTTCTACAACCAGTCACTTCGCTGACGAAGCACCTAAAGGTCTGTCAGGACTAAGAACAGATCAGCAATGCTGACAGCTCCTATAAGACTCAATACTGCAAAAACTGTAAAACCGATACTGTGCTCTCCCAGCAGTATTTTCAAAATTTCTTATAAATAACCAAGTAGAAAGCAACAGTTAAAAAATATACTAACACTGCAAAATGAAATATTGTTATAACTGGACACAATTCTAGTCCCTATGAATACATGCTATCTTTGCTTCTTTCTGCTGCCTGAAAGACTTCTGCTTCATTAATTACATAGAAAACGTGACTTCAGGAACAAAGTAGGGGAACACTGAAAGGAAATCATTACAACTACACAATTTATTGAGGAAGCCCTAGGTATAAACTAAATGCAGCAAATGACAGACACCTTTTCTCACTTTTCTGGCTCAAGCAACAGTTTCACAGTAACCACCGAATACATACTGGGAAACTTGATTAAAAAAGTAAAAATCTTTTCTACTGGAGTCTACTATGAATTCCTTGGCTGCCACATACGTAACATGAGGCACATTCCAACGTTTTTTAAGTCAGGCCACACATATCTTGTGTTAAGTATCTGGACAGCAACAGGGCATTGCAACAATGAACTTCACTCAAAATGTAATTAAATCAAAGTTGGATCTAGAGCACCTTGATCCAAAAGGTTCAATATTAGTGGATCTTAATTTCCAATATTGATAGGTACTGTACGCTGTTACACTCCCAAAACAACAGCTTTAAAGAACTTAAGTATTACAGTGATGGAAGTCACAGAAATGGCCAGCCTCTCATAAGGTGAGTCTCTGGCGGTATTTCTTTCTCCAGCAAGTGACCCAGATCTTACCGAAAGCCTAAGACAAGGGCCATGCCCTTTGAATACCCAACTACCTACTGCTCACTGCGCGCGACGAGTGAGGCTGAGGCACAGAAGGGGTGGAAAAACCCCCCAACCAACCAACCAACCAAAAAGCCATGCAACTGCAAATTTGCATCTTAATACTACTTCCTGTCATCTCACCGCTACCTGCACAATGCCTAAATTACGCCGCAGGGACTATTTACCCAGGAGCCAAACTTGGGCTGCACGGGATGCCTCGGCCCAGGGTTAATACCTCAACCTGACGGTGGAAACCAGGGGCTCCACAGGGCCGCTCCTCCGCCCCTCATTAAAAAAAAAAACCCAAAAAACCCAAAAAAACCCCAAACCCAAAAGAAACCCACTAAAAAAAAAAAGGAAAGAAAAGAAAAGAAAAACCTACAGGTTTTTTTCCTTTGAAGAAGGCATCGGAGCACAAGTTGAGGCGCTACAGCATCACGGCCGCCCCCAGCCCCCCGCCCGCCCCGGGCACGGCTCCGCCGCCCCCGCCCGCCCGCAGCCCCCGCCCGCCCCGCACACCCGCACACACAGAGGCACCGGCTCCCCCCGGCTCTCCCGGCCCCTCGGGCTCACAAAGCACCGGCGGGGAGCCCCCGCCCGCCGCAGGACGCGGCCCGCCGGCCGGTGCGCCCCGGGGGCACGGCGCGGAAGGAAGAAGGGGGGGCCCCGCACGCCCCTACCTTGGCTTTCTCCAGGGGGCTGAAGCGCAGCTGGTGTACGAAAGGGCTCCGCGGCGGCGGCCCGCGCTCCCGGCTGCCGCCCACGCAGCATCCCCGGCCCCGGCTGCTCAACTTCATGGCGGGGCAGGACCCGGCGCGGGAGAGGGAGCGGGCGCTGCGCGGCGACCGCCGGTGCCCGGGCAGCTGCGGGCGGGAGTGCTGGAGAGCGGGCGGGGACTGCGGGCGGCACCGGCGGCCGGAGCGCTCCCCACTAGACGCCGGCCCCCGCCCTGCCGCGCATGCGCCCTGCGCGCCGGCTACAGCGGCTCGGCCGGGCGCCGGTTTCCGCGTCGTGTGGGAATGGGAAGCGGGTGGGAATGGGAAGCGGCGGGGGGGGGGGGGGGGGGGGGGGCGGGCGCGCACCCTCCCGCCCTCCTTCCCTCCGCCCACCCAACCACCCACCTACCCACCCTGGGAGCGTCCCCCTGGGGCATGCCGGGAGCGCGGCCCCGCCCGGCGGGATGAGGGGCGCCGCCCGCGCGCTCCTGGGGTCCGCGGAAGCGTCGCATCGCCGGTGGGAGCGGGGGCAGCGTTGCGAGGGGCGGCCACGGGCACCTGGGGTGAGGGCTGGCGCCTCGCTCAAACCCCGGCGCGGGGGTGCTGCTGGGCGTGGGGCGGCGGAGGGGAATTTAAAAAAAACGAGGAATAAAAAGGGGTGAGGGATGTGAGTCGCTCCGGGATGGAGGTGATCCTTCGGTGCCGCGGCTGTAGCGGCGCGCGCGGCCGGTGGTGCTGAATGAGCGTCGCCGGCGTACCTGGGAGAAGACAGGTGCTGTGCTGGCATCACGTGGCTGGCGCTGGGGAGGTCCGCGGGGAGACCGCTGTTGCGAGCAAATCTAGACAGTTTTAATGATGTCTGGCTAATTTGCACCTTGGGATCTTGGCTGAGTTGGCTGAGGAAGTAGCTAAGTTTGGGGTTTAATAAATCTTTAAATATAAAATATGTTCTCGAGAAGTGAAACAAACAAACCCACTCGTGTTCTGCCCACTTTCAGAAGACCAAGCAGGTTAACCTGTACTGTTCTCGACTGTTTAACAGCAACCACAGGGGAAACAAGGGAAAATATGTAAACGATTTGATAAGAAATATGTAAGATATTCTTAATATGAATCACCTCGACTTATAAAACAATTCTGATAGCCTTATTCAGTGACATTTTCAGGTAAATTCATAAAAGTAACTGCAGAAACATCATGGCTACTGTTTTTAATGATTAGGCTTAGAACTACAAAATGGTCTCAGAGTCCTATGTTTAATACCAAATATACTTCTGATGGCTAATGCTTTTGAATGGTTAATGTGTTAAACAGAGAAATCGTTTTTGACTTTTCAAAGAAAATTTTTCAGAAGTTAGTCTTCATGGTTTTGGGGTTTGCAAGGTTCTGCAGGCTCAGCATCTTTTAAGATTTTTACCAAATATCCAGAATAAACTCACTTTGTTAACAGCAAATCCATGGATGTGCTAAATGGTAAACTACTGTGAGAGCAACTGCAATGTCATCTGGACTGCTTAGTAAAATTAACACTTTCAAACAGGCTGTTACAGCCAAATGTGTAAGCCAAATTTACAGCCAAATTTTCCAAGGATGCAAGCCATGCCTCTGAACTGAGAGCTTAGGTCTTAGAAAAAGTCATCTAAAAACCATATCAAGCAAACTATTATAGATAAGGTCCCAGTGCAACGTGTCCAGTATGACTGTTGGATGTACTACCTGGATTACTGTGTGTATTAATGAGACTGATAGTAGAACAAGGTGTGTGGCTCTTGACATTAAAGATTAAGTCATGCAGAAAACACCTGCCAAAGGACTACAGCACTGGAGTAAATATCTTATAAAAATACATTGAAAAAGCATTATCGATTTGTCAAAAAGATCTGCAAGATTTGGCATGCTAAAGCTTTTTGAAATGGTCAAAAAGAACATAGAATAGAAATCAGTGTTTGGGAGCTGAGATAACCTAATGCAATTGTAATAGTTTTAATCACGAACAAAATCCTTAGTTCAGTTTGGGACTAGTGGTAAGACTTACTGGCCAGTGGTCAGTGTGTGATCCAGTGATCCCTTTTAACCTTAAACTCTCTGAAGTATTTTAGCTGCATTCGAAATTATTTGGCTTCCCTCTCCTTTTTTTCCTCTCCAGTGACTTCCAGCCCATTGCTAGTTCAGCCATACGAGGCTGATTTCAATAATAAATGACAGATTTCTTGAAGAAGGAAGCAGAGACCCTCTAACAGGGCCCACATGCCACGTAGCCAGGGAGGAGTTCATTGCATCTTCCCTCAGGGATCTCTCTGACTTGTCAGGCAGTAACAGCTGTCCTGGCAGGTCAGCAGGCAGGAAGTTGTGGCCACTGCCTATCCAGCACACGGCTCATCAAAGTGCTCACTCCCGCACACGCACTGCTTCCCCATCCAGTAGGTGTAGGACACCAGGTGCGATGAGGGTACTGGAACAGGTTCATCTGTGAGATGCAAGCAAGGTTCTTTATTTCTGCTAGTTGTGTTTTATCTGTTTTCTAAAGCCAACTTCCAACAATGAACTAATGTTATTATTAGTTGCACCAGAGCTTTTGATATTTGTAGCGTTTTCCTCAGTTGTAAAATCTAGTGAAGTACTTGCCACCTGACTGATCCTTTGGCTCTTAAACCTTTCCTCCAAGAACACTTGTTCTGTATTGCTGAGTACATAAGCAGTATTCTAGCTTTTTATTACTGCTTTCATGGGCTTAATCTATTATTTTTTAATTAACCACATCTGTAATACCTGACAGAGTTTCCAGGAGACTTTGTAGTTTTATAGAACTCATTTGTTCCATAGGAATAATATTCCATGAATTGTAATGTCATGACCATCTTCTATGTTGTTTTAGGTTGTTCATGTTTACATGAACTATTAGGAGGTTAAGAGGAGCTTCCCTGATTTTTGGTTTTCATTTGTTTTCTTTAAAATTCTGCTGTGATCAGTATAACTGAAGACAGATAACTTTAAAAATGTACAGCCTAGCTGTCTTAAATTTGCACAAATGTGTTTCCCTTTCTCTGTAGTCCCTTTAATCTGAAATTGTAAAAAGATGGATGTCAGCCCTGTTTCTTGTGAAAAAAAAATTGCCCAGTGAAGGAACCGAGCATGAGCCCTGGATCAGGGGCAATCTCATGGCAGGACTTGAATGGGAAGGGCAGGCAGGGAGTCTGAAAACAAACCAGTTTAGCATTTGATAAACAGAGAGGTGAAGGGACCAGCCAACGTGGCAGGGCAGAGTAAGCCACACTTACACGAAGATACCACTTACTGTGCAGAGAACTGGAAAATTTATTTGGATCCTTCCAGAAATACATGATAAAACTTGCTCCTGGAATTTTATTATATGACCCTAGAAGGATGGGGTTAAGACTCTGCAAGCATGCATAAAAAGGGGCAGTATTTTATCCTTATAATACATGGAATCATAGAATTATTTAATAACATGTATAATTTTTGTGAACTAATTTGGAACTTGAATAAAGTATGTCAATAGTATTGGGGTTTTATAGCTAATTTTTTGTGCAAATCACTAAAGAGACATAACTGTGATGTTGCTATCAGGACTAGCATATGCTTCATAACTCAGCTAATAAGGACTTATAATGATATAAGAAGAGGTGATGAATTTATTGCAGGATTTATAGAATTTACCTTGCTTCACAAGAGGAGAAAATGCGTGATACGTTATGTTGGATGTAAATGTATTATGATACAATTGGAAAAGGAAATGTTGAACCTGGCTATCATGAGAATAAATTGCAGTAAGCTCTCAAATAATCTCCTCAGGGAAACTGTGGAACCTGAAACCATTAAAACGAGACTGCACAAACATCTAAGTGCCATTCTACCCTGGCAGAAAAAGCTCTAATTGGTCCTTTGTGTCATTTATTTATATGATTTATAGGGAGCTGTATAAATAAGAGGACTCATGCATAAAAAGCATACAAATATTAATTGTGAAATATGCTTTTGTGAGCCTTGAAGTAGGAAAAGGAGTATTCAATATTTAACAGCTAAACTGAAGTGGTTTTCTCCAAAATAAATCAAATAAGTGTTCATAAAAAGCAAGTATGTTGACCACAGCACTGAACTTTATTTCAAAATAAAAAAATTCTTGCCTAGGAAAGGTCCTTGCTTTGATTTTTATGATGGTCCTTGACCTTGATGGCCATTTGGTAGAATCAGCTGATCCCTATTGAAACATGATTCAGGTACACTTCCACCTTTAAAATGATTTTTCTACAGTTGATTTCACATGTTCCGTAGGGCGTTTTGTCTCTTTTTTTCTTATTTTCCCTCATGACTCCCATTGCAAATTTATTCAGTGCTTAAACCAGGAAAGGTTGAAGAAAAAAAGTATTTTGTGAAGGGAAAAAGCATATAAGTTCATGGTGAATTACTAGCAGTAGTACAGATTTTGCAATGAATATGTACTCACATTTTTCTTTTGATTTGTGAGGAAATGCAGAATCCATTTGACTATCTTCAATCACGAAAGGAATGGCTTGAGTTAGTGGCAGGTCTATGGGAAGAACAGCAGTTTCTTTTTTTGATAGTTCTGTAGTATCTTGGATGTGTCAGCCTGAAGAAATGAGGCCCTTGTGCCAAAAAAAAAAAGGTGATAAGACCTCCCTCATTCAGGAATTATTAGAAAACATAATAAAACATAATTCAGGGTTTTCAAGGAATAATTGTTCACTTAATATGTACTTTTCACTTCGGGATTTGCAGTGTTATAATTCACATGATCTCGGCTTCAGCAATTGCAAACAAACTCATCAATTCCCACCTGCTGATGGCCTCTCCGTAGTGGAGGAGGAGCAGGCAGAGGTGTTAGGTGTCACAGGGTCTTTGCCAGGTGCTCAGCAGTCCATGCTTAGTTCACAAATCCTGCCCCTGCACACTACTGGGAGTGAGTGAATTTAAGGTGCAGTGTGGGCTGATTTCATCCTTTCGTAGTTGAGGAAAAGAAATTTTGGGCCTTGCTCAACTCATTCAAAGACTGATCCAAGACTGTGGAACAAATTGCTTTGGGATTTGAGATCTGCCTCATACTTGATCACTTGATCAATGCTATCCCAATTCATCCTGTGTATTTTATTTCTCCCATGCTGTTCTTAAACTGAAACACAGAATAAAAGTCCATACTATCTCTGGTAATATCTCACAGACATTTAAAACTA